CCTGATTCTCTCCCCGATTCCGTTGGTGGCGGAGTGAGTGAGAGGCTGCGTGGTGCTTGGCTGCTGGCTGGGGGGAAACCACGACACTTCCCAAAATAACCTAGATAGCCTAAGACCTCCTGTCCCACTGCAAAATCCAAGTATCCTCTTCCTTACAGCATCTGCTTTTTGTTACAAATACACAATGAGTTCAAAGCCAATAGGGAAAGGAATTTTATTTCCAAACTTCTAAAATATTAATACAAACAATAGAAAGTAGACAAAATTAAAAACCTCTAAAAAAAGTTAGTTGTCCTTGTAAAAGTGTTCTATTAAAAAAGTGAAGGCAAATGACCAAGCACATTTTAGTAAGTTTCATGTATTGCAAAGATTGACAATTATGCATGCAAGTGTCTTTGGGTGTTCATGGAGTTTTAGTGTCTGTTTGGTAACATTTCAAATATGCCAAGAAAATTCCACCACAGCAATACTTTTACAAATACAAATTAGGAGAAGGATTACAAATTAGAAGTATTGCAAGAAACATGCTCTAGGAATCAAGCCTGTGCTACACATTGTGTCCAGCAGTGTCTAAAGTGTGTCATTTATGCACTTGATAAAAAACTATAGCTGGTTCCAGGTCATGCTAATGGAAGCTAAATTCCCCCTGAGAACATTACTGCAGTACTAACAGCATTTAGCTTTATACTTTAATTACTCACTTTTGGGATATTTTATTTTGTGAGAAAACAATAGGTTTTGCTATCATTCCGGTGCAACGGTTCATCAAGATCAGAGTAAGTGATTTGGTAAAAATTCATGCTTTTTCATTTCTAAAATGTAAACTTCTCAAGTGATATTTGTATAGTTAGCATAGTGTAGGAACAATGGTGAAATTATCAAAAGGGTAAGAGTCACATTAAAAAACTTCAAGAACACTACCAAGAGATAGTGGAATACTGACACACAAGAGCAAACAGATAAATATCTAGGGCATCGTTTTAACCACATAAAAGTCAGGACAGAGAGAGAGAGACTTTTCATGTGAAGGAAAGGCAGTTGTTATTCATGTCATGCTTGAAGGCAATTCTCCGATGACCTTCCCTATAAGAGGAAAAAGAAATGGTCTGTTAAATGCTATCTTCCTAAGCTGATACATTTCTCTTACAAATTACAACAGAAAAGCTCCTTTGCACTACGAAAAAACAAATAACCACTCTCCTTTGTTGGATCCTTGCATATCATAAAATTTTTAATTGGCTTTTTGACTTTTGCTCTGATTTTTTTTTATGATCCAAAGCTAACAAAATAATAAATTTGAGTTGGGGTTGTTTAGCCTGGAGAAGAGGAGGCTCAGGGGAGACCTTATCACCCTCTACAACTCCCTGAAAGGAGGTTGTAGTCAGGTGGGGGTTGGTCTCTTCTCCCAGGCAACCAGCAGGAGGACAAGAGGGCACAGACTCAAGCTCTGCTAGGGGAGGGTTAGGTTGGATGTTAGGAAGAGATTTTTTATGGCGAGAGTGATCAGGCATTGCAATGAGTTGCCCAGGGAGGTGGTGGTTTCACCATCCCTGGAGGTTTTCAAGCTGAGACTGGATGTGGCACTTAGCGCCATGGTCTAGTAACCATGGTAGGGTCGGACTCGATCTTTGAGGTATCTTCCAACCAGGATGATTCTGTGATTCTATGATAATAAACTAGATTTGATCTATCAGAAAAAAATACGAAATAACATCCTGGGATGAGCTGTGCATTTCTAAAAGTATCATAAATTATTCATCGAACACTTCTGAGAAAATATTTTGTATCCTATCTGGATGATACCATCAAACTAGAATCCTAGAATACATACACACCCCGAGATGCCAAAAAACCCCAAAATGTAGAAAGGCTGCTTCAATAACAGAAGAACACATGCAGCAGTCACAATGAATTTTATCTTATTTGCACGAAGAATTAAGGGTAGCACCCAAATTAAGAAAATCTGATTTTGCTTCTCCCACACCAAGGTTTTCCAGAAGAGCATCTCATGCTCAGTTGTTCTCTCCCTTTAGGTTCAATCCTGTTCTGTTAAACCTATGTATCAACAATTAAAGCCGTGCTATTGAAGAGGCAAAAGTTCAGCTGCAAGCTCAAGAACTCTGGCAGCAGGAAGGGTAAGATTTTACAAGTGCTCTATGTTTTAGCTTAAATTCTGCCCTGAAAGAAAACATTCATTTTCTCCTTATTAGCACTCTCAAAGAAAGAACAAAATTCAGTAGTACTTCTCTCTCTGTAGATTTTTCAGCTCTTTAGCAGGAGCTACTTTTCTTTTGAAGAAGAGTAACCCCTTCTAAATATTCTACTTCCACATTTGTTGGTCAAGTAAAACAGATTTTTCAAGTTGTGGTGTGGTGCTACCCAAGACCACTAGCATACATGGCCTTTCTTTTTCCTGCTGCCATCACTGATAATCCGTGTGACAAAAGGGAGAGGCCAGAGTGGGAACCAAGGACCCAGATCCCAAAGGTTTGCAAATACTGGACAATCACCCACCCACCCACATACACTGCAGATGCTACACACATACAAGCAATGCAGAGCACTAAGGCAGAGTTCAGGGAGTAGAACATCCTTTAGAGCTGTGCTAAAAGAAGTTAAAAAGGATGTGATTACAGATTGTCTCAGCTTATCTCTGCTTCCACTGCTGTACCAAGAGTAAGAACAGGAAGAGCCTAAGGACAGACACAGCCACATGAACTGCAGTATGACATTGCAGACCAAATGTATTTTAACACGGTTCTTGTTTAAGCTGTGAGCTTGTCATCAGAACATGTGCAACGGCCATGGCTTTCTTGCACTTCTCCAAGATGGGTATGTGACTGGTTCTTGTCTGGCTGTGTCAAAGACAGCTGTGAGTCTTAGACAATTTTAATTAGTTGGGATGCTTGCTAATCACCCTAGTGCAGCTCAAACACGAAAATACAACCAACCAAACAAAAAAACAACTCAAAACCAAAACACCTCTAGAAAGAGCTGTAGAAAAGAAGCTGAAACAGAAAACAAATTGCAGAGACAAGAGGGATGGAATAAGCACTTCTCTAAGAAGAGCTCAACATTTAAACAACTATCACCATGTGCCCTTGTCCTTCCAAGGGTTTGAGTTTCAAATCAGTGGCTGTCATGGCATCTGTGACTTTATTACCTGATTTCACAGGAGAGCACAGGATCGAGGTTCTCGGAAGGGATTGCTCCCTGCAGGAACCCCAACGAGCAAGCCATCCTTGCAGGCATTTTGCATACAGTACTGCTGGAGTTCTGCAGCTGCCTGAGAGACCTGAGAAGGAAAAACAAATCCAGAGAGGAAGCTAATTCATTCACAAGCATCTATTAGGCATTTCCTCTTGAACAGCTACCATCAAACAGAGCTGGAGTGCAGCTAAGTTAGCTCTTGGATTCTAAAACACCGAGTAAATCAGCACAGAAGCACATTTACAAAGTTCTGATGAAGCATACATGAAATACAATGCAAGTGATGAGCCAGAAGTGTAGAGGCCTGAGGTGCAAATGTGATGCAACTTGTCCTCATTAAAACGCACAGAGCCATGATCGCAATATTTTTCAATCTACTGTAGTGTTTTCAGGTTTATATTTGAACTCTAATATCCTCAGATAATAACTAATATGATTTTCATTTCCAAACTTTTAAGCAACACAAAGCATAACAAGGAATGAAAGCAAGAAGATGAGGATGAACAGCTTTTTAAATCCAAATTGTCACCTTCCCCTGGCAGTGAAGTCAGAACTTCAAATCCACACTCTGGCCCCCAGAGAGGAGAGTCCAGAGCTGCAGAATAAGCTCAGGATTCCAAAGGTAAGATGTCTTCAGCACTGAACTCCCCTGTTCTCCCTGTGGATGGCAGGTCAGTCATGTGCCTGTATTTTTGAAGGAAAATGCAGAGGAATTCCCAATTTTCCAGACATACATTAGGAACAGCTGCAGAGAACTGTCAGAATTCTTGCTGTCTGATACATTTTTTATAAAAGGAAATACTAAGCATACTGATGGGAATACAAGTTCCCCACTGACCTCACCTCTGCCTTTGCTACAAGACTCATGAAACACTGAATTTTCTTTGTGCACAATTCTGCAGTGTTGCCACTGGAAGGACAAAACAATAACCAGAAGGACCATCCACACTTCCCAGCCTCCTGTCTGAAGGGGCCACCCAGAAGCCCTGATGCAATTTTGGTTCTGGGCCATCCCAGCTAACAGCATCTGGAAGCGCATGGGAAATCTGGCCCAGCACACGCTTTCATTTGCTATTTTGCTGCTCTCCTGTTCACGGCCTTCCCACTCTCCCCCAGGCTCCCCTCCGGGACACTCATCCTGGTAACTGCCCCAATTTACCAGGCAGCTGTCAGCACGTCAGGGAGCTGTTACGAGAAGCATTTTCCTTCAGCCTCCCAGGTTCTCCTAAGCAGAATACAGGGAGAAGCATTGGCAAGGATTCCTGCTAAGTCAGAGGGCTTTGTCACTCGTCCCTTCCTTGAAGAGGACTCCTTCCTGGAGGCTGCAAAGCTCTCCTGCCCTGCCCAGTCCCTTGGACCCCCTGCAGCAGTAGCACCCTTGCCTCAATGCCTTGCTGGTACCCGACTGTGCACCAGCCAGTAGATCTGCCTACTCTTAGCCCTGCCTATGCCCCATAACATTCTTCACTCCTCCAGTTCACACAGACAACACAAGGGCTTCTGCTGTACTCCATCACACCACAAACACACACCCTGCAGCAGCCTCCTGCGTGCAAGACGTGTGTGGGTACTTCTTTCCTACTTTGTTTCCTCTTTCTGAAAATACTGTTCCTGTCTGCTTTTTTAGCTGGCAGGGTAAACAAAATCACCATTTGTGGTATGGAATGTATTTTTGAAAATCTTTTCATAGCCAGCTTCCGTCTGGAAACACATTGTCTATTCAAAGTAACCAAAACAACGTTTTCTTCATGCATCAGTGTCTGCTAAAACTGAACCAAATGCTTTTTCACCAGCTGAATAGATTCCTCATTATTTTTACACTGTATGTCAGGAAACCCAGGTGACACCTTTTATGCAACACATTTTTAATCACGAGTCGTTTCACTTGTGAAGAAGCCATGAACAGGCTCCTCGAACAGCAGACCTGGAAAAACACTGCCATGCACAATGCTGCAAGAAAGATGAGACTGAGGTCCATCAAGGCCAAGCCTCCCTGGAACACAAGCAAACCCATAATAAATAGGTAGCCTTGAGAAGTCCAACTCCAGAATACGTTATTGCCACAAAGTAACACCTGTAAGCTACAAATCATGTATTTTATAGTCCTTCCCCACCACAAAAGAAAAAAAATCAAGGAGAGGTATATGTCTCAAAATGAGCAGGAACAGAGATCCAGGCACCAGCAAAAGCTGTGTTTGTCAGCCATTTCAGTGTTTGCAATATCCCTCTTGCCACATGAACCTACATTTCTACAACAAAACATGCTGTTTTTTACAGGTTCCCACACCTCCTTGCAGTGATAAACCACTGTCACTCCTAGCAAATCAACCATCTGCTGATTCTGTATTTGCTACTAAAATTTAGGAACATTAACAAATTCATTAGGATGTTATCCAAAAGCCATACTGGTTTCACCTTGCACTGGGCATGTAAATTTTCACCAGCCCAGGACAGGAGTAGTGAGACAAAAATATTTTGAATTATTTTTAAGTCAATTAGCTAAGTTCCTGCAGCTCAATGTACCGGCAGCTGTCAGGCTGGAGCAAGCCGGTGTTTTGTGACCGGCCAGAGAAAAATGGTGAACATAAGGCAGCGATGGGAGAAAAGGAAAGCGCAGGTCATTAATTAATTTGACTCCCAACACTTGACCGGCCATGCCAAGCACTTTGTGCACGGTTGGAAAGAGCTGCTTTTGTTGGGGACTCCTCCACACTCGACGGGAACCCTGAGCCGTCCCGAACAAGTCGCCAGCCCTGCGGAGCTGGGGGATGCCAGGAGCGCCTCTCC